ATACTTTTGAATAGCTTTCAAAAATAATAAAAAATAAAATAATAAATAAATAAAAATAAAAGAATGGAAAAATATATATATATATATTGTACATAAAATTAAATTAAATTTTCTTGTGTCTATCCAAGAAATATATACTTTCTTATTCATAGAAAAATAATAACAACAAGTTGTGTTTATGAACTCAAGAAAAAAAAAAAGATTTCATAAAAATAACCACTAAAATCTTCTGCATGCAACTCAGGTCCTTCATAACCTGAAGTAAAGAATTTCAGTGCAAAGAGCCTCCTGTAACATCTCTGTAACGTCTGCGTGTTTCGTGAAGACGTCAGGAGGTAAAAGTCCTTAAAAACGAAAGCGTCTTTATTATTTGCATGAATAGTGGCATTCAAATGTATATTATATTTGAGCATACATATTTTTATATGGTAACATTAAAATACAAATTTGACAGAAATTGGGCATTTTGTAGAGAACTTATGCAGAAAAAAAAATACTACAACACAATAGGAGAGCGCTAGAGAGCGAATGTGCGACGACATTGGGTGCGAGACTCGTAAAAAGACCGAATGCAAAAGCTTTCGACATGTACATAATTCCCAACCTTGTACAACAATCATGAATGAACCACAAATGTTGTGTATTCTATGCTTTCAACAACAGCATAGAAATATATATGTAAAGATACATGTACAATCACAACAAAAACAACTATAATCACCACCCACCCAATATATGTATATATAAACAATTTTGGTAATACGAATCGAATAAATGCCTCGTGAAGCTCAGCAAATTCATTCATTACACAGATCAGAAAATATAAACGAATTTCAAGGCATTCGTCGTGGGGTAGTACAAATGCAATTGGCAACAGGAATACAAATTTTGATTTCAAGATACATTTTATGCGTTCGCAATTGATTTTTCCTAACCTCTTAGTTATAGTGTTGCATTAATTTTTAACCGAAAACAATACACAAACTGGAAACTTGCATTTCAAAGCAAATTATTAAAAATTTACACCCAGATCCACTTATGCTATAAATGATAAAAAAATATTTTACAAATTTGACTATATAGACAAGGATTTTAAATAAATTAATAACTAGAGTTGAAGTGATTCTCATTCATAAGATAAAATTATACCACTTTATAAGTCATGATAGAGTTAAAAATAAGTGGTTGGTACCGGTCGCTTCCTATCTTACAGGAAGGATTATAAACTCTATATATTGAAATAAATATTCAAAATAAGTCTTAATAAGTGAAGAAATTGCAAAGTATATCATAATCCGGACATCGAGACTATCCGGAACATAACAGCAGACACTTTATTAGGGATGATAGTTTTAAAAAAAATATTAAGTACCCATGTATGGTGGGTACTTATCACGTCTTTCTCATCAATTCTTCCCATATTACAGAAAGACGGGCTTATTTAACTTAGAAATATGCTCATTATGACGGCACAGATAAGTTTAAACTTAGGATGCTGACCATAAATAATGTATATTAGAGATACTTCTATTCTCGACAATGATTATGGTAGATAGACATTTAAGAAAGTGAGAACTAATAATACATAGAGACTACCAAGTAATAGCATAGTAGATAAGCAACATTTCATATTTTTAAGATAGACCGAATATAAAATTTTATCGTTACCTCTTGGTTAGACGTATATTTATTAATAATAATTTCAAATACAAAACTAAATATAATGATAAACTGTTTAATAGAACAGTGAATAAAATTATAAAAGTTACGTCTTACCCAAAAGGATATTAGTTGTTCTTTATCAATACATGTTACAATTATATGAAGTTAAAGAATACATAGCTTTTTACATGGCTTTTTGTTTTTTAGGCGGTTAGGAGAGAAATACCTACGCACTGACAACGACCCGAAAAATAAGTGCCCGGCTCGCACGAACTAAACCCCTCTCTCTCTTTCATTCCTAGAGAGCTTGTCCTATCTGTAGACTATGTTACTATTATTTTGACGTAGGTTCCCGCATGAGAAATTTAAGACTTTTATTGTTGTGACCCACGATCAGGCCCCGTTGCTCTAACCGATAGCGTATTCAGAGAGTGGATTTGGAAATAAAATTCATTCTCGACAATATAATCAACAGATAATATGTTGCAAAAACGCTGCACAGGACCATGCGATTTGTCATCACTGGACTTTTTTGTGAGATCATGCAAATGATCGTGTGTATGTAAAGACTATTCAAATTCGCGAATTTTTGATAAGGAACATACATATGTCAAGATATACCCGAGTTATTGTCAGCTATAAGCCGACAAGTCATCAAAAATATTCAGGCATCGTACACACCCCTTGAAAAACATTTGAAAGAGGTGTTTCTCATCTGATGATAAAATCCAAAGTATATATTAAAATAAAAAATTGAATAACACTTCTATTTCATAAGTGTTTTATAATGATTTATTGTTTTGATGAACAAATATTTTTAATAATAATTTTGTTTTTTAACGGACTAATTTGTCAATAGGTAAACTATAGTCATCATCAGAGTACTAAATAATAGTAATACAATGTAACAATATTTTAGTATATATCACAAAGGAAGTGTTTTATTTAATAATAATGTGTGGAAGTGTTTTATTTGAATGAATAATTCTGTACATATTTAGAAATATATATTGAAATATTAAAAAGTTTTAATACAATATTTTAAAATAAATAAAAACACATATTTTTTTTATAAACTTAAGAAATAATCTTAAATATAAAAACAAAAATTAAAAAAATTTTATTATAAAACAAAAACATATATTTAAATATATTTTAAAATAATCAAAAATATTTAAATAAGTTCGATTTCTTTTATATAAGTAAGAAAAGGCAAATAATATGAATATGTATTTATAAGTAAACTGTCATTTAATACAATAAATAAAAAATTTATATATTTTTAAAATACTTATAAAATAATTTAAAATATAGGATAAGAAATTTAAAAAATTTATTATAAAACAAAAATATATACTAGATATGTATATATATAATATATATAATATATAGATATAGATGAAGATATAGACAGATACAGATATAGATATA